GGGCCGCCGAGCCAAGCCCTTCTGGCCACGGGCTTCAGGACTTAGGGTGTGTGGCTGTGGGACCCCAGTGGGGCGCCAGGTGCTTGCGCCCCCGGTCTGTCGGTCCCTTTCCTAAGGGTCTCCCAGGAAGCGCCCCAGGACGTGCAGAGCCGGTTGTAGGGGACCGCGCCCTCCCGCCTGCTCCTCGGGCTGGCGCGAGCAGACCCCCCCACACCTATGGTTCCTCCCTGCCCCCCCGCACCCCGCCTCTCCTGCGGGTGCTGGTTTAAGTCTAATTCCTGGGGTCCTCAAAGCCCTCCCCGTGCCACCTTGGCCCGAGTCGCTGCCTGTCGCGGCTCTGCAGACCCCGGCCCGTCGGGGACCGCCTCCACTCGGTGCCTAGAGGAGCCCCAGTCCAGTGGAGCCGCAGAGGCCAGAGGCCGGTCCTTCACTCAGGCCCGGGCGGGCCCCCAGCGTCCCTAGCTGCCGCCCCCAGGCCCTCCCACAGCCTCAGAGGACAGAAGCACTGACCGCCCAGGCCAAATGTTTTAATGTTGGGGTGGGGACAGACAAAGCAGGATGGAGGACCGTCCCCAGGCAGAGGGCCGGCCTGAGGTGGGGCCCCGCCCAGCACCTGCTGGTCCTGCTGCCCTCCTCCAGCCAGGGTGGGCACAGGAGGGCTGGGGGTGGGGCCGGGGCTGGGGGTGGTGTCCATGGGGCTCCTCACTGAGGCCCCTGGCTGGGCCCCCGGCACACAGTGGTGGGGGACAGGAGACTCAGTCCGGTGGGGAGGGCGAGGCCCCCCTGGTCCCCATCAGCCTGAATACTGGGAAGGGGGTAAGGTGTTGGTCGGGCCCTTGGGACCCTGAGGGGGCTTGTGGTTCCGGGGTACAGGCCCTGGTAGGTGAGGGGCCGGCAGGTGACAGGAGCCAGCAGAGCCTCAGAGGGTACCAGCAGCTGATGGTGGAGCCGGAGAGGGGTCCTGGAGGTGGAACCTGGAGCTTGGTTGGGGTGTGAGGAGGGAGCGGTGTGAGTGGGCCGCAGAACGCCCCTCACGTCGCAGGCCTCGCCCCTGGCCTGCCCTCTCCTCCCTGCTCTCCGGGCCCTTGCCCACCGCTCTGCCTCTGCTCTGTTCTTCCCTGTGCCACCTCCTCCGGGAAGCCCCCCTGGCCCGCTCGCCGCCTTGGCCCCACGCTGTCTCAGAAGCTTCAGGCTTCTCTCTGCTCACAGGGGCGCCCGGGGGTCCCCGAGCATGTCAAAGCCCCTTAATGAAGCGTCCATGGCCCTGCCCCTCACTTCCTGCCCACCGTGCAGGGCTGGCCCTGTGCCTGTCGCAGGAGCTGACCTTTGTTCTGCTCCGGGGGGCCCTTCAGCAGACCTGTCCTGAGGCTGCTGCGACTCCGGGCAGGGATGCTGAGCAGCGGCCGCGGGGACACAGCCCTGGAAGTGGGGGGCGTGCAGGAGTGGGGCCGGGATCCGGGGCGGGGGGGGACCTAGGCCCGAGGGTCGTGGTGGGAATCTGGCGGCAGGTGAGGCAGGGGGCGAGGCCCCGAAGGCAGTCAGAGCCGAGGCCTCGGGGATTGCCCGTGGATGGGGGCAGCGTGGATTAGGGTGGCTGGGCAGAGCTGTCGGGGCAGTACCAGGCATCCGGGTCGCTCTCCCTAAAACCCTTAGCAAAAGGGTTGCTGGCGATTTTCAGCTGGGTGATCTGTGGAGGAGAAGGTGGTGTGGGCCAGCGCTGAGCCAGCAAGAGGCTGTGGGCCCCTGGCCCGGCCACTCTGTCTTCCTGGACCCTCAACCTAGAGGCCCTGGCTCCCTGGACCCCAGCCTGGGAGCCACGGAGCTCGTAGGCGAGGACCGCGATGCCCGGGCCGGGAGGAGCCGTGCCGTGGGGCCTCCGTGCTGCGGGGTCTCCGCGCTCCCTGAGCAGGGGGCTCGGGCCGCGCCCCGCGTCCACCCACCCGGTGGTTCTGGTACGCGGTCACGGCCGTGAACTGGGTCTCCGTGAAGACGAAGGACTTGAAGTTCTCCTGGGCGTAGCGCTCGCTGTCCTTGCGCGGGTCCACGAAGACCACGTGGAAGCGGGGCTGGTAGCGGTGCATGGAGCTGAGGATGATCTGCGGGCAGGGGAGGTGGGGGCAGCAGACCCTCGCCGCGGGCGCCCTGGGCCTGCCGCTCTGCAGGGGTCCGCCAGAGGTCTGGCCGCAGGCAGCTCCTGTCCTACCCAGAGCCTGAGGGCCTCCGCCCCCCTCATCCTTTGGTTTCCTCAGCTGCCTCCCGTGGCCCCTCCCCTTTCTCCATTCTTCTCACAGCACCCCCTGGGGTCAGCTGCAGTCGCCCCCTCCTCTCTGCTCACACCCCCAACCCTCTCAGCCCCCCCCCCAGGGCCTTTGCAGGTGCTGCTCCCTCCATCTGGCTGTGGAATGTTTCTGCAGCCCCAACCCAAATCCCCACGCAGCTGGACAGGCCCCTCTGCTGTCCTGCTGTCCAGACGGCCCCCTCCGTGCTGGCTGTCAGCGGCCAGCAGGGCAAGGGTACGGAGGCCCCCACACACCGTACGTCTGGTCAGTCTGGCTCCAGGCTTCCTCGCCCCAGCCCCCAGCACGCCCTGCCCGGCCCCTCCCCCCGTGACCCGGGCCTCACGTGGCCATTGTCGTCTAGCAGGTTGTTGGTCAGCTTGAGCTTGTCGAAGGACACGATCTGGCGCATCCACTGGGCGCCCTTGGCGGGCGAGTCGGGGTGGAAGTGCACGCGGCCGGGCGGGGCCGGGTCTGCCTTGCCGGCCACCAGCCAGGCCGAGCTGTGGAAGGCGTACCTGGGGAGCAGACCCGGTGGCAGGGCGCCCCCACCTGAGCCCAGCCAGCCCCGGGAAGCCTGGCGCTGGGCCCTGTCTCCCGGCCCGGCCACACCACTGCCCAGGCTGCCCGCTGCCAACTGCTGCCCTGAGCTGAGCACTGACTTCCCGTGGGGCGTCTCATGGCTGCCCGAGGGACGCCACCCGTCCTGCCTCGCACTGACCCCTCCCTCCGCGTGCAGGTCCAGCCGTCTTCCGATCCGAGCCCCCGCCCCCACCATCGCCGCCCGGACCTGTATCTCTTGTTGTCCAGGGGCACGAAGTCCATGAGCAGGGCATAGTCGGCCAGCGTGTCCATGCCCAGGATCTTCACCTGGAAGTTGGGGAACATCCTCCTGCGGGAGGGGAGTATCAGACCGACCCCCGAGGCCGCAGCCCGGCCCCCTCCCACCCCCGCCGCCCTACCGGCCCGCCTTGGTGACGATCATCTCCGTGCCCAGCTGGTTGAATTCCTCCCACAGGGCCTTCATCTCCAGCTGGACTGTCACGCCGGACACGCATGGGTTCTTGGGGCCCTGCCCAGGGGGCTCGGCCACGGCCCGTGGCCCTGGGGAGCCGGCAGCAGCGCCGGACGGGCAGGATGAGTCCAGGCGGGGCTCCCAGCTGGAGCTGGCGTGCAGCAGGGCATAGGTCTCTGAGGGGGCAAGCGCCCCGGGGCCGGCGCAGAGGAAGCCTGGAGGAGGGGAGGAGCGCCCGCTCGCCCGTTCACACCGGCCCTGCCCCGGTCCTCAGCCTTCAGGCTGCGCCTAGGTGCCTCTTCCAAGAAGCCCTCCGGACTGCAGGCCTGAGTTCCGCGGCATCCCCCCTGAGCATCACCTGATGAACTAAATGCCGCCTAAGTCTTTCCCCAGAGCCCTGCTTTCTCGCCGGAGAATCTTCGGGCAATTTTTTTCACCCCTGGAGCCTCAGTTCCACTCTGTCCCAGGGTGTCTTATACCTGCCTGTAGGCCGGTGTGCGGGGCCAGAGGGCACACACAGGCCTGGCACACGGGCCTGCCCCAGACCACTGTGTGCAGAAGGTGTGTGGGAGGGTGGGGTGCCGGGCCGCTGAGCGCTGAGCCGAGGAGCCCGCCACCACGTCTCTCCTCTCCGGCTCCGACGTCGGGACGCTGCCCGGCCCTTCCTCGGGCGCCGTCCCCCATCTCTGACCTGCTGCCCAGCCCGGCCGTGGCCGAAGCCCCGCACCGCCCGTGAATAAACAGCAGCTCTGGCCACGGCGCGGCCACTGCCGAGGGCCAGCCCGCTGACGGGCGTGGGCAAGTCGGCCGCGGCCGTGCCGGGCAAGGCCCCGTGCAGGCTCCCGTGACCCAGCACCCCCTCCCGGCACAAAGCCGGGGAGTCAGGCCGGGCCGCGCCCACAGCCAGCAGCTGCTTGACGCCGCCGAACGGGACACAGCAAAGCGGTGAAATGGGCGTTTTTGTCTCATGTGTATTTCACCACAGTGAGGGATTTTTAAGTGGAAAGAAAAAACCCCGGAAAACACTGTCTTCTAGCAACCACGGAGGGGTAGGAGCCGGGGGACGCCCCCGCGCCCCAGGGCACAGGCCGGGCCTGTTGACCAGTGACTGGACAGACAGTGGGAGCTGGCGCGAGGCGGTCAGGGGAGCTAAGGCGCTAACAGGCGGCCGGCCCAGGCGCACTGGGGCCCCCGGGGTGGGCCGGCCGAGTGCCGCCTGTGAGGGGGCCGCTCACCGAAGTCCCTGGGGCTCTGCGGTGGGGGCTCCCCCTCCCAAGAAGGGGCTGTACCCCCAGAGGCATGAAGGGGTGGACCCACACCTGGGACCAGCCCACGGGGGGCCCTGCCTTCTCAGCTGACCCGCTGGGGCAGGTACGTCACCCGGGGAAGCAACACCCCGATCCACAGCGCCCAGTCCCAAGGGGCAGGCTCGGGCTTCTTGGGGCATGGGGGCGCCGCAGGCTGCTCTCTGGCTCCCGAGTCCCCCACAGCCCACCCCCGGCCATCCTGGTCAGGTGGCGCGTCAGGGCTGGGAGGGCTGTGACGGTGTCCTGTCCAGTCCCCCCTGGCCTTGGGACAGGCCCAAGGCACTCACAGCTGATGAAGCGCTCCCCTCTTGGAAGCGGCTGTGTATTAGAAGTGCACCCCAATACTTGTACTTGAAGGGTAGCACCTGAGGCTCCAGCCTGGGGAGCCCCCTCTCACCCAAGGCTGGGTTCAGGGGTGCCTGTCCTACCCACTGACTCCGGGCCAGGGCCCCACCCCCAGAGGGTGCCTCCGACGCCCAAACCCTACCTGCCATGGGCACCCCGATGTCCGGCTCCTGGACGTCCCGCTCAGCTGGGGCTGCCACTCAGGGGCTCTCCTGCAGGAGGGTGCTCAGCACCCCGGGCCTCAGGCCATGCAGCACAGCGCCCCGAAGCCGGCGCCCGGTCCTCAGGCCTCCACCAGCCCTAGTCCCCACCTGGCCAGCGCCTGCTCTCTGCAGGTGGGACCCTGAGGTGTGGCTCGTGCGGCTTCTTCCTCCAGCCACACTCGGGCTGGCTGGTCCCTCAGGCTCAGGCTGGCTGTGCGAGGCAGGGGCGGGCTGACTGAGCCTCCTCCCCCTCCCGGCCCTCTCTCCTGGCTCCCTCCCTCTCCAGCTCCAGCCCCCCAGCCATTCCCGATCAATGGGCCACAGGGGCCGAGGAGGGCCTGGGGGAGGCACTAGGGCCTGGGGGAGGCACTGACCGTGCCCTCTCACCAGGACCGCCTGGCCAGGGCCCAGGGCAGCTGGAGTGGGCTCGCTTGGGGGTTTGAGTGGGAATGTGGGGCAGCGGCAGCCCTAATCCT